CCCGCTTGTTCCTGTACCCGAACAGGAACGGCGAGATCACGTTCGACAGCACCAGCAGCAACAGGGTGTGGAAGTTGAACCACGGCGACGTCGCCACGTCGACCAGCCCCGAGTTGAGCACCAGCGTCACCCCGTACGGCACGTAGCAGAACAGCACGAGGAAGATCACCAGCACGCTGACCTTGGCCGCCCGCGTTTCCTCCCGGTATTTGAACACCGACGCGTTCGAGATCTTGTGCTTGATGGAGGTGATGAAGTTGGGCGAGCGCTCGCTGCTCGCCCTGGTGACTTTGGTCCCGTTGGCGGCGCTTATAACTCAAAATTACGATTTTGAACTTCTATTTTGTCATAACTTTCGAGGTTATGTATCCAAAATTTATCACTTCATTCAGAGCTATCGAGAAAATATCACTCCATGAAGACTTGATTTCGTGACAGAATCGAGAAATGTGACAGAAATGTAGCATCTCAACCAATCAGCAACCGAGATTTTATCGGTATCGAGTTTTTTTCGATAGAGAAACAAAATCCCACCCCAGACTCGGGTTAATTTTCGAAAATAGTTAAAAAATGGGCGAAAATGTCAAAAGTGCCAAAATCAGTCTTATCTTGTCAAATACTAAAACCGGCCCACCCACCCTCTATTTTCTTGTAGGATTGTCATCTGCCAAAATCTGTCTTATCTTGCCAAATATTAGCCCCACCCACCCACCTCCACTTCTCATTTAACGACTAATTTTATTTCTGTTCAGTATAATATCATTCCATCCATTCAGAGCGGATAAAACCATTCACCGAAATGGAGACAGGGTGGGTGGGCGGGGCTAATTTTGTTCTTCTGTCAATTAGGAGGGGCAACTAATAGAATCTAAGATGTAAAAACAGTAAAAAAGCGCTAATCGTGACATTTTTTTGTGAACGAATATGTCAACAATCCAAAAATCAGTATTATCTTATCAAATACTAGCCCCACCCACCCGCCCTCTATTTTCTTGGAAGGTATGTCATTTGCCAAAGTCAGTCTTATCTTGGCAGGTACTAGCGCCGCCCAACCTCCCTTTTCTCATTATAACGACTAATTTTATTTCTGTTCAGTGTAAGATTATTAATTTCTTTCAGATCGGATAAAATCAATCACTGAAAAAAAGACAGGGTGGGTGGGCGGGGCTAATTATGTTCTTGTGTCGTGTGGGAGTGGAAACTAATAGAATCTAGAGTATGAAAAAAATTTAAAAAAGCGATAATCGTTTTAAATTTTTTTATTATATACTATTTGCTATAAAATTTATTCGATTTTCCAGTTTTTCCCGATTTTTTGGTTTTTCGATCCTTCAATTTTTCGATTTTTTAATTTTTCGATTTGTCAAATTCTCGAATTAAAAAAATTAACATAATCCAAAAACAAAATAAAAAAAAAGAATAAATACAAAATGAAAACTTTGAAAAATCTAAGAATTGAAAAAATAAACAGTTATTATTTTCAATTTTAATTATTTAAATTTTGCGATTTTTCCATTTTTCTTTATTTTTCAATTTTTCGCTTTTTTAATATTTCATTTCTTCACATTTCCCATTTGCGATTTTTCGTTTCGGTTTTTCATTTTCTTTGTTTTTACAATTTTTCGGTTTTTCACTGTTTTGTTTTTATAATTTTTTTTCTTCATTGTGAAAATTTTCAATTCTTGGATTTTTATGATTTTCGGTATGCAATTTTTCGATTTTCCAGCTTTTGGATTTTTTAATTTTTCGTTTTTTCAGTTTTCCGAATTTACAATTTTGACGATTCTATCATTTTTTTCGATTTGCAAGTTTTCCGATTTTTATTTTTTAATGTTTCAATTTTTCGTCTCTTCAGTTCTTTGGATTTACAATTTTTCGATTTTCCAATTTTTCCCAATATTTTAATTTTTCGACATTTAATTTTTTGCTTTTCAACTTCTCGAATCAAACAAATGGAAAAATTGTAAAACTGAAAAATAAATGAAAAATACGGAAAAATATAAAAACTGGAAATCAAGAACTTGAAAAATTGAAGAAACGAAGAATTGGAAACAGAAAGATTGTAAAATTGAAAAATTGGAAAACCCAGAAAAAACGAAAAATTATAAAGTTGAAGGAAACATTGAAAAAGTAAGGGAAATGAAAAAACGAAAAATTGTGACGAAAGATTAAAATAAAAAAATCTGAAACCTGAAAAATTAAAATCAGGAAGTTAAGAAGAAATTAAAGAAACAAAATTCTGAAAAAACGAAAAATTACAAATTGTAATTGAAAAAACAATTTTTGTTTTTTTGAATTTTAATTTTTTTAAATTTTTTGTTTCTTCAATTATGCGATTTTTCGATTTTATTTTTAATTTTTTTTGTTTCTCCAATGCTTGGACTTTGCGTTTTTGATTTAAAATTTCATGAGTTTTTTTTTAATTTATCAATTTTTCGCTGTTATAATTTTTCATTTATTCAAATTTTCGATTTGCAATTTTTCGTTTCGGTGTTTTATATTTTCAGCTTTTCAATTTTTCTAGTTTTCATTTTAAATATGTAATAATTGTAATTTTTTAAATTTTTGGTTTCTTCAGTTCTTCGATATGCAGTTTTTCGATTTTATCAATTTTTTCCGATTTTTTAATTTTTCGATTTTTCAAGTTCTCGCATAAAAAAAATTGAAAAATTCCAAAAACAAAATAAAAGATTGAATAACTACAAAATGAAAACTTTGAAAAATCTCTGGAAATCAAGAATTTGAAAAATTGAAAATTGAAAATTTGAAAAATGATAAAATCGAAAGAGTCATTGAAATCTAAAGGGAAGAAAAAAGAAGAAATTGCTATGCAAAATGGAGAAAATGAAAATTAAATAATTGAAAAAATGAAAAATAAAAATTAAAAAATTAAGAATTGCCAGACTGAAAAACCAAAAAATTATAATATCGGGACATTGAAAAATCGAACCCATTTTCAGTTTTTCAGTGTTTTCATTTCATTGTAATTTTTCTTGCTTCAATGTGAAAATCTTCAATTTTTCGATTTTTAAAATTTTCGGTTTGCAATTTTTGATTTTCCAGCTTTTGGATTTTTTAATTTTTCGTTTTCTCAGTTTTAGATTTTTCAGTTACTCGATTTTCGATTTTTCGTTTCTTCATTTTTCTTTACAATTTAATTTTAGTTTTCATTTTAAATAATTATGTAATAATAGTAATTTTTCAAATTTTTCACATTTTCAGTTTGACGATTTCAGAATTTTGAGGATTTTACAATTTTTCGATTTTACTATTGTTTGCGTTGTCCAAATTTTCGATACATGGATTTTTTCGATTTGTAAGTTCCTCGATTTTAATTTTTTTAATGTTTCGATTTTTCGTTTCTTCAGTTCTTTGGATTTACAATTTTTTGATTTTTAAAATTGTAAAATTGAAAAATAAAAAATGAAAAATACGAAAAAATATAAAAGCTGGAAATCAAGAGCTTGCCAAATCGAAGAAACGAAAAATTGAAAACAGAAAGATTAAAAATTGAGAATCTTAAAAATCGACTCCAGAAAATGTAAAATTGATAAATTGGAAAGCCCAAAAATTGAAAAATCAAAGGTTGAAAATTTGAAGAATTAAATAAACGAAAAATGAAAATTGAAAAATCTGAAAACTGAAAAATTGAACAACTACTTGATTTTTCAATGTTTCGATTTTATAAAATTTTGTTTTTTTTAATTTCAATTTTTTTAATTTTTTGTTTCTTCAATTAGGTATGCGATTTTTCAATTTTCCATTTTTATTTTTCTTGGTTTTCTTTAAATTTTCGATTGGCAATTTTTCGTTTCGCTGTTTTATCTTCTGAATTTTTTCAGTTATTCGTTTTTTCAATGTTCCGACTTTGTTATAATTGTTCTTTTTTCAATGTGAAATTTTTCAATTTTTGGATTTCTCAATTTCTCGGTGTGCAGTTTTGAAGTTTTCAATTTTTCAATTTTCCCACTTTTAGATTTTTCAGTTTTCCGATTTTTCAATTTTTGATTTCCAAATATTTTAGTTTTCATTTTAAATACGTAATAATTGCAATTTTTTAAACTTTTGGTGTCTTCAGTTCTTCGATTTTATCAATTTTTTCCGATTTTTTAATTTTTCGACTTTTAATCTTTCGATCGAAGAATTAAAAATTGAGAAAATTCGAAATCGAAAAACGGAATATTGTAAAATCGAAATAGTCATTGAAAAATAAATGAAAATGAAAGCATTCCAAAAACGGGATAGGATAATTGAGAAATCCAAAAATTGCGATATTGAAAAAATGAAAAAATATTGAAACAAAAAAGCAAAAGTAATCCCGCCCACCCGCCCTATCAGAATCGCGATGATTTTTTTATTCGTCGTGAGCCAAGGGGGCGGAGCTTAACTGCAAAGTATTTATTCCTTTACAAGAAATGAAAAACATCTTGAGCATCATGTTGTTCAAAAAATACTATGTATTTTAAGAAACAAAGGCAAAATATAGACAACACTTCAATTGTGATGATTTTTTTTTTTTTTCTTAGAAACTTAAATCACGTTTAAAATGGTAAATTTCTGTAAGGAAATATGGATTTTGCAATTAGGCTCCACCCCTAGTTCTGACAACGAATGAAAACTTTATCACGATTTAGATCAGGGCAGGTATGGGTGGGGCTTAATATTTGGTTTTATTTTTTCTTAATATACACGTAAAAGTATTTTTAAGTGACTAATAACAAACCCGGCGCATTCGCCAATCTCTTCCCAGTTGGTGGGTATGCAGCCAACAATACAACCCATAGATCTCCAACTGTGTAAGCGTCGCTCTCTAACACTACGTTTGACAGAAAAGTACCGTGATTGTAGTGTTTACCATAATTAAGTACAATCTCGTGACTCATAATGTTTTCTTTTTTAGAAGTGACTGTGTACCATTGAACTGAATTAGTGTGTTTATGTGTGACGAAATTTTCTTTCTTTCTCGTCGATAATAATAATAATAATAATAAAACCACGTATATTTTTTAATATTCTTTATATTTGGAAGCTGTTACCTCACTTACAGCATTACAAAAATTATAAATACAATAATTTACATGTTAATAACTTAACCGCTTTATACAATTTCCTAACCTAACCTATTAAGTTTTGGCCACCAATAGCTCAGTCTCTGCCAACCTAACTCACGACTAGAAAAACTCCCTAACAGTCTTCATTTGAAATTTGAGTGCTGGCGCTCGAGAACGACCCTCTCGTCTCCCCGCTAATGCAACTCTCAGGTACCGTGATGAAGTTACACTTCTTGTAACTCGTCCAGTTAGAACTTTGATACACCCTCTTCAAGATACTCTTCCTTTCGTTCTCCACCTTGCAGGTGACTATCACTTCGGGCACGGTGTAGCTCTGCCCTAAAAAAGGCTCCTTCGTGGTCATCTGCTCGTCGTTCGCCGACCGCCGCCGGTTCAGCACCGACAGATCGGGCCGCTTCGGCGGCACGAACCCGAACACCTTCCCGATCTCCCTTTTCACCCGCTTGTTCCTGTACCCGAACAGGAACGGCGAGATCACGTTGGACAGCACCAGCAGCAACAGGGTGTGGAAGTTGAACCACGGCGACGTCGCCACGTCGACCAGCCCCGAGTTGAGCACCAGCGTCACCCCGTACGGCACGTAGCAGAACAGCACGAGGAAGATCACCAGCACGCTGACCTTCGCCGCCCGCGTTTCCTCCCGGTACTTGAACACCGACGCGTTCGAGATCTTGTGCTTGATGGAGGTGATGAAGTTGGGCGAGCGCTCGCTGCTCGCCCTGGTGACTTTGGTCCCGTTGGCGGCGCTGTCGTCCAAGCGCATGAAGTTCGGCGCCGAACGTACCTTCGGAAGCGACGCACGCTCATCGCACGTGCGGTACAGCCCGTCGAGGTGCGTCGATGTGGATTTGCGCATGCGCTCGCTGTTTTTGTGCGCCGCGGTGTATATGCACACGTAGATTACACATATCGCTATGAACGGGGCGAAAATGATCGCGACGCAGTACGTCACCGCGTAAACACTGTTGAGGATTTGGACGGTCCGTGAGTCCCGGGGGCGGCCGGCGCAGAAACGCCACAGCGAACTGTCACTCTCGGTGGCACTGCTCAACACACTGAGTACCAGCGCGATGAACCAAGCGCTCACGATGAACACCGTCGACCGACACTTATTAATATAGAAGTGGTACCGAAGCGAGTGGATCACGCCGAAGTACTGGTTCACCCCGATGAGAAGAATACTGAGGATGGACAGCGTGGAGACGAAACTCGTGCTGACTTGAGCGGCGTAGCACAAAACGGTGCTGTTGCAGAGGACTCCATCGGTCGTATTAAAATATAAACTTTCACTCCGGATAATCTCAACATCGGTGCCGTTGATCACCTCTTCCTGGATGAAGAGGTCCGACACTTCGACTTGGTTGCTAGAGTTGGAAGGGTGTGGGACCGACTGGTCCACGAGCAGCAGCGGGATCAACAGAAGACTCGACAGGAGGTTTGTGATGAGGAGGTTGATGACGAATCTGGAAACAACGAAACGTGTTAATTGGAGGCTCGGACGCTTGGTTGACGGCGCAAATTGATTAAAACGGAATCGTGGCCTTCTGGTGCGGTTTTCGGCTTAGGCGAGCGTGCTGAACAATCACCACTGCGATTGGTTTTTTGAATGGAAAGTTTACCTATTTGTTTGAGTTTTATAACAATTGAATTACAAATGTTCCTCGATTTGTATATATGTATATATTTAAATGTCTTCCGCTAAGCGCTTGTTTAGCATTGCAAACCACGCTTCTGAGAAGAGTTTCTCACTTTTTTTTTTTTAGTTTGCTTTGATTATAGTGAGGAAATTATTATTTATTGTTTTGGGTTAGGTGCGTGTCCTCGAGTTGGACTCTTGGAAGCCATTAACACCTGAGTCAGTGAGTGTTCTTTATCGGGTCGTGAAATTCTAACGACTTTTTAAATATATTAGAATAAGTAGATTGTAATAAGTGTGTGAAAATTCTAAATTTAGCGTTTTGTAGTTTCCTTAATAAATGGAAAGTACTTTTCCAGGAAGTAGTGCCAAAGTTAGTGTAGGTACTTTTCCTAGTGGCCTTGCGTAAAATAACAGACTTTAGTTAGTGTATCAATACAAAAACCACTTTTTGGCCAATAAAATGGGTGCTTAGAATGAAAAAAGGGTGGGTGGGCGGGGTCACTTTGAAGTTTTATGAGCGTAGATTCGACCACTCGACACACGTTGAGTTTTTTTAATTGGATTCGACCACTTGCCATACAATTCAATTTTCAATAAATGAAGTGAGCCAATGAAATGCAGACGCAGGTGGGTGGGATTAATTTCACCAGTCTATTTTACTATTGTTTGTCAACATGAAATTCACCTTTCGTCTCGGAGCCAATAAAATAGTGACTAATTTCATTGGTTCTTAATTAAAGACCAATCTCAACCAAATAAAACAGGGAAAGTGTCAAGTCAGGTCAAATTTAAATGCCACTTTTTGCCCAATAAAATGGGTGACTAGAACAAAAACCGGGTGGGTGGGCGGGGCCACTTTGAAGTATTATAAGCATAGATTCGGCCACGTTGAGTTTTTTTAATTAGACCACTTGCCATAGAGTTCAATTTTCATCTCCCAATAAATTAAATGAGCCAATGAAATGTAGACGCAGGTGGGTGGGATTAATTCTACCTTTTGGTCTATTTTCCTATTGTTTGTCAATATAAGATCCACTTTCGTCTCACAGCCAATAAAATGAGTGATTAACTTCATTGGTTCTTAATTAAAGACGAATCTGATCTCGACAAACATAATACTCTGGAACAGGTAACCCTGAAATCTTTTTTTCGATTTGTGTATTTTATAGAATTTTTCAAAAAAAAAAAAACAATTTTAAGAACTTGAAAAATATAATAAAAGTGTTTAAAAGTGCTTTGACAGACAGTAGAATTTTAGAAAGAGACGTTCTAAAAGTGGTTTATATAACAGTTCTGTAATAGGTATTATTTGTTAAATAACAGTTGTTTGTCTTCAGAATATTTATAAAAATATCTAATTTTTAGCCCGATTTTTTCTTAAACACTAGAAATCCCAGAGATTTTTTTTTAAACTTAAAAAAACACACAACAAGAACGCCGAGATTCTTCCAAATTCTTAAAAAACACCACAGGTTCCTTCGATTCTTTTAAAACACTTGAAGTCCAGCCATTCTTTTAAATTCCCCAGAGATTCTTTTAATTTAAATTCTTCCAAAAATAAAAACACCAGAGGCCCCGGAAATTACTTTTAAAACTTAAAAAAAGACACTGGAAACTTAAATACTTTGAAAAAATACCACGGGGCCTCGAGATTCTTTTAAAACACTGGAGTCTCCTGATTCTCTTCCAAACCGTTAAAAAAAACACCACGGATCCCTTAAATTCTTCTAAAACACTCAGAAGTCCCAATATTCTTTCAAATTTTTCCAAAAACCACGAGAAGCCTCAGATTCTTTTTAAAACCTAAAAATCACTGGGAACGCTGAAATTCTTTTAAAATACTTGAAGTTCCGTGATTCTTTTAAAGTCTACCAAAAAAACACTAGAAGCCCCAGAGATTCTTACAAAAAAAACACACACACACACACACTGAGAACGCCAATATTCCTCAAAATTTAAAAAAGAAACACCATGAGTTTCTTAGATTTTTTTAAAACACTAGAAGTTCCGCGATTCTTTCAAATTCTTCCCAAAAAAAAGAACACTAGAAGCCCCAGAGATATTTTTTGAAACTAAGAAACACATTGAGAACACCGAGATTTTTTTGAAGAATCTCGGCGTTCTAAAAAAAACACCAGAAGCCCCAGAGAATGTTTTTAATTTAAATTCTTCCAAAAATAAAATACCAGGGGCCCTGGAAATTATTTTTAAAACTTAAAAAATAACAGAGAATTTAAATATTTTGAAAAAACACCATGGGTTCCGTAGGTTCTTCTAAAACACTAGAAGCCCCAAGATTCTTTCAAATTCTTCCAAAAAAAACACTGTAAGCCCTAGACATTCTTTTAATTTAAATTCCTCTAAAAATAAAACACAAATAAAAAAGATACCGGGAACTTAAATATATATTTTGAAAAAACACCACGGGTCCTTGAGATTCTTTTAAAACACTGGAAGTCCCAAAATTCTTTCAAATGCTTCCAAAAAACCACTAGAAGCCCCTGGGATTTTTTAAACTTAAAAAAAGATACTAGGAACGCCGAGATTCTTCCAATTTCTTAAAAAAAAAAACACCACGGATCCCTTAGATTCTTTTAGAACATTAGAAGTCCAAAGGTTGTTTCAAATTCTTTCAAAAAAACACTAGAAGCCCCAGAGATTCTTTTTAAAAACTAAAAAAACACTGATGGGAACGCCGAGATTCTTCCAAATCCTTAAAAAAAACACCACGACGGTTTCGTTAGATTCTTTTAAAATACTAGGAGTTCCGTGATTCTTTCAAATTCTTCAAAAAAAAACCACTAGAAGTCCCAGAGATTTCTTTAATTTAAATTCTTCCAAAAATAAAACATTTAAAAAAGATACTGGGGACTTAAATATGTTGAAAAAACACCACGGGTCCTTAAGATTCTTTTAAAACACTAGAAGTCCCAAAATTGTTTCAAATTCTTCAAAAAAAAAAAACACTAGAAGTTCCAGAGATTCTTTTAACTTAAATTCTTCCAAAAATGAAACACTTAAAAAAGATACTAGGGAACTTAAATATTTTGAAAAAACATCACGGGTCCTTGAGATTCTTTTAAAACACTAGAAGTCACAAAATTCTTTCAAATTCTTCCAAAAAACCACTAGAAGCCCCAGGGATTTTTTTTTTATTTAAAAAAAAGACACTAGAAGTGCCAAGCTTCTTCCAATTTCTTAAAAAAAAAACACCACGGATCCCTTAGATTCTTTTAAAACACTAAGAGTCCAACGATTGTTTCAAATTGTTTCAAAAAAACACTAGAGGCCCCAAAGATTATTTCAATTTGAATTCTTCCAAAAATAAAACTCTTGAAAACCCAGAGAATCTTTTTAAAACCTTAAAAACACTGTAAACGCCGAGATTGTTCCAAATTCTTAAAGAAAAAATACTACAGGTTCCTTATATTAGACTCTTTTCAAACATTAGAAGTCCCGCGATTCTTTCAAATTCTTCCAATAAAAAACACTAGAAGCCTCAGAGATTCTTTTAAAAACTTAAAAAAGATATTGGGAAAGCTAAAATTCTTCCAGATTATTAAAAAACATACCACTGTTCTCTTAGATATTTAAAATATTAAAAGTCCCGTGATTCTTTCAAAAATTCTTCTTAAAAAAAGACACTGGGAACTCTGAAATTCTTCCAAATTGTTAAAAAAAAAACACATCACTGGCCCCTTGGACTTTTTAAACACTAAAAAGCCCCTCGATTCTTTCAAACTCTTCCAAAAAAACACTAGAAGCCTCAGATTCTTTTTAAAACTAAAAAAAAAGACACTGGGAAGGCCAAAATTCTTCCAAATTCTTAAAAAAAAACACCACGGATCCCTTAGATTCTTTAAAAACGCTAGAAATTCCGCGATTCTTTCAAGTTCTTCCAAAACACTTTAAGCCCCAGAAATTCTTTTTAAATATTAAAAAAAGACACTGGGAACGCCGAAATTCTTCCAAATTCTTAAAAAAACACACCACTGGTCCTTTAGATTTTTAAAACACTAAGAAGTCCCGCGATTCTTCCAAATTCTTCTAAAAAAACACTATAAGCCCTGAGATTCTTTTTAAAACTTAAAAAAAGACACTGGAAACGCCAAGATTCTCAAAAATTCTTTAAAAGGACACCACGGGTCCCTTAGATTCTTTTCAAACACTAGAAAGCACCGTGATTCTTTCAAATTCTTCCAAAAAAGCACTAGAAACCCCCGAAATTCTTTATAAAACTGGAAATAACACTAGCAACGCCGAGATTTTTCCAAATTCTTACAAAAAAAAACCACCACGGGTTCCTTAGATTCTTTTAAAACACTAAAAGTCCCAAGATTCTTTCAACTTCTTCCAAAAAAACACTAGAAGCCCCAGAGATTCTTCGTAAAACTTAAAAAAAGACACTGGGAACGCCAAGATTCTTAAAAATTCTTTAAAATGACACCACGCGCCCCTCAGATTCTTTTCAAACACTAGAACTCACCCGTGATTCTTTCAAATTCTTCCAAAAAAGCACTAGAAACCCCCGAAATTCTTTATAAAACTGGAAATAACACAAGTTACGCCGAGATTTTTCCAAATTCTGAAGAAAACACCACGAGTCCTTTAGATTCTTTTTAAACACTAGAATTTCCCGTGATTCTATCACATTCTTCCAATAAATACACTGAGGACGCCGAGATTCTTCCTAATTGTTAAAAAAAAAAACGCCCCGGGTTCCTTAGATTCTTTTAAAACACCAGAAGTCCCAAGATTTTTTCAAATTCTTCCAAAAAAACACTAGAAGCCCCAGAGATTCTTCTTAAAACTTAAAAAAAGATACTGGGAACGCCAAGATTCTTAAAAATTCTTTAAAATGACACCACGCGCCCCTCAGATTCTTTTCAAACACTAGAAATCACCGTGATTCTTTCAAATTCTTCCAAAAAAGCACTAGAAACCCCCGAAATTCTTTATAAAACTGGAAATAATACTAGCAACGCCGAGATTCTTCCAAATTCTTAAGAAAACACCACGAGTCCTTTAGATTCTTTTCAAACACTAGAATTTCCCGTGATTCTATCACATTCTTCCAAAAAATACACTGAGGACGACGAGATTCTTCCAAATTCTTAAAAAAAAAACACCACGGGTTCCTTAGATTCTTTTAAAACACTAGAAAGCCTCGTGATTCTTTCAAATTCTTCCAAAAAAACACTAGAAACCCCCGCAATTCTTTTTAAAACTGGAAAAAAGACACTAGGAACGCCGAGATTCTTCCAAATTCTTACGAAAACACCACGATTCCTTTAGATTCATTTTAAACACTAGATTGTCCCGTGATTCTTTCACATTCTTCCAAAAAATACACTGAGGACGCCGAGATTCTTCCAAATTCTTAAAAAAAACACCACGGGTTCCTTAGATTCTTTTAAAACACTAGAAGTCCCAAGATTCTTTCAAATTCTTTTAAAAAAACACTAGAAGCCCAGAGATTCTTCTTAAAACTTAAAAAAAGACACTGGGAACGCCAAGATTCTTAAAAATTCTTTAAAATGACACCACGCGCCCCTTGGATTCTTTTCAAACACTAGAAATCATCGTGATTCTTTCAAATTCTTCCAAAAAAACACTAGAAACCCCCGAAGTTCTTTTTAAAACTGGAAAAAAGACACTAGGAACGCCGACATTCTTCCAAATTCTTAAGAAAACACCATAAGTCCTTTAGATTCATTTTAAACACTAGAACGTTCCGTGATTCTTTCACATTCTTCCAAAAAATACACTGAGGGCGCCGAAATTCTTCCAAATTCTTACAAAAAAAACACCACGGGTTCCTTAGATTCTTTCAAAACACTAGAAGTCCCAAGACTCTTTCAAATTCTTTCAAAAAAACACTAGAAGCCCCAGAGATTCTTCTTAAAACTAAAAAAAGACACTGCGAACGCCAAGATTCTTAAAAATTCTTTAAAAGAACACCACGGGTCCCTTAGATTCTTTTCAAACACTAGAAAGCCCCGTGATTCTTTCAAATTCTTCCAAAAAAACACTAGAAACCCCCGAAATTCTTTTTAAAACTGGAAAAAAGACACTAGGAACGCCGAGATTCTTCCAAATTCTTAAGAAAACACCACGAGTCCTTTAGATTCATTGTAAACCCTAGAATGTCCCGTGATTCTTTCACATTCTTCCAAAAAATACACTGAGGACGCCGAGAGTCTTCCAAATTCTTAAAAAAAAAACACCACGGGTTCCTTAGATTCTTTTAAAACACTAGAAGTCCCAAGATTCTTTCAAATTCTTTTAAAAAAACACTAGAAGCCCAGAGATTCTTCTTAAAACTTAAAAAAAGACACTGGGAACGCCAAGATTCTTAAAAATTCTTTAAAATGACACCACGCGCCCCTTGGATTCTTTTCAAACACTAGAAATCATCGTGATTCTTTCAAATTCTTCCAAAAAAACACTAGAAACCCCCGAAGTTCTTTTTAAAACTGGAAAAAAGACACTAGGAACGCCGACATTCTTCCAAATTCTTAAGAAAACACCATAAGTCCTTTAGATTCATTTTAAACACTAGAACGTTCCGTGATTCTTTCACATTCTTCCAAAAAATACACTGAGGACGCCGAAATTCTTCCAAATTCTTACAAAAAAAACACCACGGGTTCCTTAGATTCTTTCAAAACACTAGAAGTCCCAAGACTCTTTCAAATTCTTTCAAAAAAACACTAGAAGCCCCAGAGATTCTTCTTAAAACTAAAAAAAGACACTGCGAACGCCAAGATTCTTAAAAATTCTTTAAAAGAACACCACGGGTCCCTTAGATTCTTTTCAAACACTAGAAAGCCCCGTGATTCTTTCAAATTCTTCCAAAAAAACACTAGAAACCCCCGAAATTGTTTTTAAACCTGGAAAAAAGACACTAGGAACGCCGAGATTCTTCCAAATTCTTAAGAAAACACCACGAGTCCTTTAGATTCTTTTTAAACACTAGAATGTCCCGTGATTCTTTCACATTTTTCCAAAAAATACACTGAGGACGCCGAGATTCTTCCAAATTCTTAAAAAAAAAAACATCACGGGTTCCTTAGATTCTTTTAAAACACTAGAAGTCCCGTGATTCTTTCAAATTCTTTCAAAAAAACACTAGAAGCCCCAGAGATTCTTCTTAAAAGTTGAAAAAAGACACTGGGAACGCCAAGATTCTTAAAAATTCTTTAAAAGAACACCACGGATCCCTCAGATTCTTTTCAAACACTAAAAAGCACCGTGATTTTTTCAAATTCTTCCAAAAAACACTAGAAACCCCCGAAATTCTTTTTAAAACTGGAAAAAAGACACTAGGAACGCCGAGATTCTTCCAAATTCTTAAGAAAACACCACGAGTCCTTTAGATTCTTTTTAAACACTAGAAAGTCTCGTGATTCTTTCACGTTCTTCCAAAAAAACACTAGAAGCCCCAGAAATTCTTTTTAAAACTAAAAAAATACACTGAGAACGCCGAGATTTTTTCAAATTCTTCCAAAAAAAAAAACACCAGAAGTAAAACACTGAGAACTCAAATACTTGGAAAAAACACCACGAATCTTTGAGATTCTTTTAATACACTGGAGTGCTGCAGTTCTTCCAAATTGTTAAAAAAAAACACCACGGGCTCCTTAGATTCTTCTAAAACACTAGAAGTTCCAAGATTCTTTCAAATTCTTCCAAAAAAACTTTAGAACCCCTATAGATTCTTCTTAAAACTTAAATAGACACTAGGAACGGCAATATTCTTAAAAATTCTCTAAAAGAACACCACGGGTCCCTTAGATTCTTTTCAAACACTAAAAAGTCCCGTGATTCTTTCAAATTCTTCCACAAAACACTAGAGGCCCCAGAGATTCTTCTTAAAACTTAAAAAAGACATTGGCAACACCGAGATTCTTCCAAATTCTTAAAAAAAAAAAACATTACGAGTCCTTTAGATTCTTTTTAAACACTAGAAAGTCCCGTGATTCTTTCACGTTCTTCCAAAAAAACACTAAAAGCCCCAGAGATTCTTTTTAAAACTAAAAAAATACACTGAGAACGCCGAGATTCTTTAAAATTCTTCCAAAAAAAAAAAACACCAGAAGTAAAACACTGAAAACTCAAATAGTTTGAAAAAACACCACGGGTCCTCGAGATTCTTTTTAAACACTGGAGTGCTGCAGTTCTTCCAAATTGTTACCACGGGCTCCTTAGATTCTTCTAAAACCCTAGAAGTCCCAAGATTCTTTCAAATTCTTCCAAAAAAACTTTAGAACCCCCATAGATTCTTCTTAAAACTTAAATAGACACTAGGAACGGCAATATTCTTAAAAATTCTCTAAAAGAACACCACGCGTCCCTTAGATTCTTTTCAAACACTAAAAAGTCCCGTGATTCTTCCAAATTTTTCCAAAAAAAACACTAGAAGCCCCAGAGATTCTTCCAAATTAAAAAAAAACACCCCAGATCCCTTAGATTCTTTTAAAACACTAGGAGTCCTACGATTGTTTCAAATTCTTCAAAAAAAAACCACTAGAGATGAAAAATTAATTAATGAATTAATTTAATCGTAGTAAAGAAGCTGATTTCACCCACCACAAGGATGTTCCTTGTCCTTGGGTTTTAAATTTTTTTTAATATATCTAAATTTAGCTCGCTTCGCTCAATATTAACATAACTTTGGCCACAACTCAACACTTGATGTATTTGTTAGAAACTTAAATAATCAAATGTATGAAACTAAATGCACGAAACCCAGATGGCGAAAACGGTATGTGAACTTCACCCCCGAGGCGCAGCCGAGTGTTACAAAACCCAGCTCGCTGCGCTCGCCACTCACCTATTAGGAACGGTCCGCAGCCCCCTTCTTCTACAGAAAATCAGCAAAAGAAACGCGTTGGCTGTGATGGCAATGATTGATGACGTCACCAGTCCTGCACTTATCAACCAATGACCGTCCTCCATTTATTTTCTGAAAGCAAGCGGAAACATCAGTCGAATATACAGAGCGTGCGAACAAAACAAAGCGTTAATCATCGAATCGGCTGGCCTCCGGCCAATTTCTTTCGCTTTTTCGCGATTATGCAACCGGAAGTGCTATAATTAGCAACAATCGGATCTAGTGGGCTCGTATTTTGCGAGCTGTCAATCGATCAAGGTCGGAAATATGAGGGGGGCCCGTTTGCAGAAATGTGCCGCGTGGGCCCCCATAAATAATTGATGAGTTTTAATTGTACACCTGGCAATCCGTTACAGCGCTTTCTTCGCGTGATTCAGTTATCGAGTCGGCGAACAAACAACAGATAAAAAAATTCCAGTTAGATAGACGGCGCGGAAAAAGCCGAAGGGTCAATGGTACAATGGGTACAATGGGTGGTTTGCCTCAGCCCACGAGCTGACAGGATAATGGGACTTCCAAATCGGACGCAGCCAAGGATTAATTGGGCGCGCGGTCAAAGAGAAAAGGTTGAGCGAACTCACCGTGAAAAAGAGCGACGCGCGGGCCTTTGTCTTCGGAAGCTTCCATGTCGACGGGCCGCCGCCGACTGGAGAAGTCGACGGAGTCGTGCCAGCTAGGATCGAATAATGGATGTGTGCCAAGCCGCTTTTTTTCTTTTATCATCGGGCTAAATATAGATATGGCGAAACGGCTTATCGCAGACACTCCCCTTAATCAAAACAGCGCCGACTGACGACTTGGGCAATTAGGATTAGTTGGTGATAAGGAAGGAAAATAACGGGTGATGCAAAAACGGACAAAGAATTCGAGGGACGGGGGATACGCGAAGAATTCTGCAGCCTCATCTAGTTTACGTGGAGTCACCTTGGGGTTTTTTTTGTTCGAGCGCTTTCATTGCAGTTTCGCAAACGCTGGCTAGATTGATTCCTGACAGTTTGGTGCAGGAAATTCGATTTTTTCACCTTCGGGTGTTCGTGCCGCCACATTGTTCGACACGTGTCATTGAAAATAGAACTGGGGTTTTTCAGGCGAGTGGCACGGAAGTCGGCGGTTTGGCGCGCGAATTCGAAAAGTTGGCCGAATTTTTCGTTTTTTGATTTCCGATTTTTCGTTTCCGTATTTTATTTTTGTTTATTTTTTTCAGTTTCAGTTCTGGTTTGGAATTTTTCGGTTTTCAATTTTTCGAATTTTCAACTTTTGGATTGATTTTTCGATATTTTGATATTTCGATTTTTGAATTTTTAAATTTTTTGATTTCTTCGATTTTTTCAACCTTCCAATGCTTCAATTTTTAGATTTTGCAATTATTTGTTCCAGTTTTTTCCATGTGAAATTTTTCAATTTTTCAATTTACAATGTTTCGGTTTTTCAAGTTTTACATTTTTAATTTTTCGTTTTTTCAATTTAAAAAAAAATTGGACTTTTTCTAGTTTTCATTTTGAATATGAAACAGTCATTTTCCATTTTAAATTTTAAAATTTTATCCTATTCTTAATTTTTCAATTTTCCACTTTTTCTATTTTGCAGTTTTTCGTTTTTTCAGTTTTTTGGATCAAGAATGAAAAAACTAAAAAGTGTAAAATGAAAACTTGGAAAAATCTAAAAACTGAACAACTTGAAAAATTGAAGAAATGAAAAATTGAAAAAACGAAATACATATTGAAAATTAAACAATCGGAAAATCGGATAAAAGAGCAACAAAAATTTCAGAATTGAAAAACTTAAAAATTGGAAAACCAAGGAATCAAAGATTGACAATTTTAAAAAATGAATAAACGAAAAATGAAAAACTGTAGGTACCATCTAAAAATTGCAAAATTGAAAAACTGTAAGTCAAAAAATCAATCGTAAAGACGAAAATTTAATTTGACCGAAAAATCAAAGAAATAACAAAAAGAAAACATTGAAAAGTCAAAAAGTTGTATTTCGAGAACTCAATAAATAAAAAAACTGAAAAAACAATAAAAAAATTGTAAAATCGAAAGGAACGTGGAAAATATAAAGGAAAAGAAAAAACTAAAAACTGATATGAAATCCAGAAAATGAAAATTAAAAATTCGGAAAAATGAAAAATAAAAATCAAAAACTCGAAAAATTGAGGAAGCGAAAAACTGAAAAATCAATCGGAAAATCGAAAATTTAATTTAATCGAAAAGTCCGAAAAGGAAGAAATCCAAAAGTGAAAAAATCCAAGAAATCGTAAAATCGTAAATTTAGTGTGATTAAAAAGTGGAAAGATCGAGAAATCAAAAATCCGAAAAATCAGACAAAGTCGAAAACTTAATTTGGGCGAAAAGTCCAAAAATCGAGAATGGAAACACTGAAAAATCGGAAAGTGGGAATTTAAAACAAAATCGGAAACTCAAAAAATCAATCGGAAACTCGAAAAAACGAAAATTTAATTTGGACTTTCAATTCCAGGAGTTTTCAGTTTTTGGATTTTTCAGTTTTTTGTTTTTTCAATTTTTCGATTTGGCATTTTTATTTCGGATTTTTATTTTCTCATTTTTTCAATTTATCGGTTTTTCAGTGTTCTATTTTTTTTTCAACGTAAAAATTTTCAGTTCCTGGATTTTTCAAATTTTCGACTTTTCGATCAAATTAATTTTTTTACTCTGCAGTTTTCTCTACTTTCCGATGTTTCGTCTTTTCAATTTTTCGATCTCTCGGCTTTTCGACTTTTGACTTTCTGATTGACTTTTCGATCAAACTAAATTTTCGATTTTTTGAATTTCCGATTGGTTTTTTAATTTTCCGATATTTCAATTTTTCAGTATTTCGATTTTTCGATATTTCAATTTTTTGATTTTTCAATTTCTTCGATTTTTCGACTTTTTGATCAAACTAAATTTCCGATTTTTGACTTTCTGATTTGATTTTTCGACTTTCCAATGTTTGGATTTATCGATTTCTTCGGTTTTGCGGCTTTTCGATTTTTGGATCAAACTAAAAGTGCGATTTTTTTACTTTTTCATTGATTTTTTGACTTTCCAATTGATTTTTCGACTTTTCGTTGTTTCGATTTGTCATTTGTCGCTTTTCGACTTTCCGATCAAACTAAATTTCCAATTTTTTGGCTTTCTGATTGATTTTTGGACTTTTCGATGTTTCGAATTCTCAATTTCCTGGTTTTCCGACGTCTCGATTTCCCGACCTTTCGATTTTCCTATTAATTTTTCGATGTTTCAATTTTTTGGGTTTTGACTTTTCGATTTCTTGATTTTGCGACTTTGCGACTTTCGATATTTCTAAATCTCGGCTCTTCGACTTTCCAATCAAACTAAATTTCCGATTTTTTGACTTTCTGATCGATTTTTGACTCTTCGATTTTGTAATTTTTTCGATTCTCGGTTTTTCGTCTTTTCGATTTCTCAGTATTTCGACTTTCCGATTTTTCGTATCGGTTTTTCCATTTTCAGTATCTCGACTTTTCGATTTCTTCGATTTTTTGATTTTTCAATGTTTCGATTTTTTTATTTCTTTGACTTTTCGACCTTTCGATTTCTCGATTTTTCGTCTTTTCGATCAAACAAAATTTTCGACTTTCCAATTGATTTTCTGATTTTTCAAAATTTTGATCGAACTAAATTTCCGATTTTTTGATTTGAGTTTTTGAGTTTCCAAATGATTTTTTAATTTTTCGTTATTTCGATTTGGCAGCTTTTTGATTTTTTGATTTTTCCATATTTCGATTTTGTCGATCTTTCGATTTCTCGGTTTTTCGTCTTTTTGGTTTTTTGATTTTTCTGGATCTTCGATTGTGCGTCTTTCCGATTTTTCAACTTTCCGATTTTTCAATTTTGATTTCTCAATTAGGGTCTCCATTTTTGGACTTTCCGGTTTTTCGATATTTCGGTTTTTCGATTTTTCAATGTTTCGATTTGTTTGATTTTTTTACTTTCTGATTGATTTTTAGACTTTCCAATGTTTGCATTTGTCGGATTTTCTGAATTTTTAGATTTTTGGATTCAACTAAATTTGCGATTTTTTGACGTTATGATTGATTTTTCGACTTCCCAACTGATTTTTCGACTTTTGGATTTCTCGATTTTTTGACTTTTCAGACTAAATTTGCGATTTTTTGATTTGTTCGATTTTTTGACTTTCTGATTGATGTTTTGACTTTCCAATGTTTGGATTTCTCGGTTTTTCGATTCTGAATTTTTAGATTTTTGGATCAAACTAAATTTGCGATTTTTTTATTGATTTTTCGACTTTCCAATTGATTTTTCGACTTTTCAATCAAACTAAATTTCCGACTTTTAGACTTTCCAATTGATTTTTCGAGTTTTCGATTTCTCGGCTTTTCGAATTTCGAGTCCGGATTTTTCGATAAATCTAAATTTTCAATTTTTTGACTTGCTGATTTGAGTTTTTGACTTTCCAAATAATTTTTTAACTTTTCGTTATTTCGATTTTCCGTATTGTCAATGATTCGATTTTTCTCTCGGTTTACCATCTTTTCGATTTTTCAACTTTCCGATTTTTCAATATTGATTTCTCAATTAAGGTTTCCATTTTTGGACTTTCCGGTTTTTCGATATTTCAGGTTTTCGATTTTCGATTTTTCAAATTTTCGAATTCTCGATTTTTCGCTATTTCAATTTTTCGATTTTTCAATTTTTCGATTTTCTGTTTTGTTTGATTTTTTGACTTTCTAATTGATTTTTCGACTTTTCGATTTCTCGATTTTTTGACTTTTCAATCAAACTAAATTTCCGATTTTTTGGCTTTCTCAGTGATTTTTCGACTTTTCCAAGTTTCGAATTTTCGATTTTTTGACTTTCCAATGTTTGAATTTCTCGGCTTTTCGATTCTGAATTTTTAGATTTTTGGATCAAACTAAATTTGCGTTTTTTCACGTTTTGACTGATTTTTCGACTTTTCAACTGATTTTTCGACTTTCCCATTTCTCGATTTTTTTACTTTTCAATCAAACTAAATTTCCGATTTTTTGGTTTTTTCGGTGATTTATCGACTTTTCCGAGTTTCGAATTTTCGATTTTTTGATT